TAGTTATTTACCAGCGCAAGCAGCACCCGGCAGTGCCTGTCCTTTTTCCTTTTTAATCCCTATTTAACTCCTTCCACCCACCTTGGAAGAGCATACTTAAGACCGGGGTGGTGCATGGCTGTGGATCTCAGGGAGAGAATCTGGTGGCTTCCCCTTTACCACGACAAGAGGCTCCGGAGTAGCCCACGAAGCTTCTTGTCACTTCGGGCCAAAGGGAGGCAATTCCCTTTGCAGGCAAGGCGGGAGAGGGGAGACTACTGTGTCTCGCTTAGAGTCGAAGACCTCTCCGCCTGCCGCCCTGGAATCACACACGTTCCCTGCTGCCGTCCTCTCAGGCACTAGAGCGGTCGTAAATCACACAAGGCTGAAGCGGTGACGACAGTGACATGTCTAGAAGGTCTGTGGCTTGAATACTTTATCCTCTAGGACGAGTACTGCAGCTCTCCCTCTCGGGGGGGGGGGGACCTGCAGTCTATCTATAAACTTCTTATAGCTAGCTCAGAGTAACTCATCTTAGAGGGGGCTGCCGACTATTCCTGAGGGACACAGAGTGTTCTGTTCTCCAGTCCTCTGCCAGAGAGAACACGGGAGCATCCCAGCACTGTGTACGCAAGATTCCTTCCTGTTTCTCTCCCCCGTTTACGTGACATGGGATCGGTCGAGAGGCCAGGCCGGGACGTGCGTAAAGCACGCGAAAGAAACAAAGCACATTCCCTTCTGGCGGAAAAGATAAATTGTAGACTGCATAGAAATGTCACAGCATAGCAAAAAGTCATAAAAATGTCACAGGTAAACACATACCCCATATGAAGAAACGCAATTCTTACATTGCAATCCTAAAAACACTTTCCTGGTCCATTGAACAGACCTGTTCAGGATTGTTCTGTTAATCTAGTGTTGTTGGGGTTTTTTTGGGGGGGGGATTCAGTTCGAGCCTAGGAATATTGATTCACAAGTATATCGGGCAGAGCTTCAAGCAAATGCACAGGGGGGGGGGGTTTAAATTCATACATACGCAGGAGGAGGAAGTAGGCAAGAAGCGCAGATCATACAAGTGGGTTCCAGAAAACGGGCAGAGGAGAAGGAACTGCTGCGTCCCCTTTAAGGCTCGCCTCCCTGTCTTGCTCTTTCCCGCCCAGGTCCCGCCTCCTAGAGCGTGACACGCCGATCCGATGGCGAAGCCCCTTTTTAATTGAGGCTGTCAGGCAGAACCCACGATGGAGCGAGTGGGAGGACGCTGCGGCTGTAGCAGAAGCGCCTTTAACTGGAGCAAGTAGTTGCTACCTTTCCAGGGGAGGGAAAAGGGAGCAAGGAGCCTAGTTGCCATCTGCAGCAAGCACCCTCCTCCTGGAGGTGGGGAGAAGAACCGCACCGTTCTCGGTCTGTCCCCCTCCCCCCCCCCCCCCCCAGCTCATGCAAGTGGAAGGAAACGTCTTTGCAGCAAGCAGACGAGAACGGCAGACTGCTTAAGCTTTTGGATCACTAAAGCTCCGCGAGCCTCCATTGTACCCCGCGTATTTTATTTTATTTTTAAACTACGCTTTACTTTTTCGCGTTTTCAGTGGCTTGGAGAAAGCTGTCGGGCATTTTCCTCCCAGCAACAGCGGCTCGGTTTCCACGCGTTGGTCGTCTTGCAACCTGCCCCCCCCCCCTTTTGCCTTCTCCCCTTGCGATCCTGATGAAAAATAACATCTGGGGCAGCTCCCCCGGGGCTCCCATGGCCACAGCTCTGCCGTGGCAA